ATGCTGCTTGGCCTGCTGTGTTCATCCAGCCCTGCACCTTGTTGTCTCGGATTCTCCAGTATCTGCAGTTCCTACTATCTCTGATACAAAGTATTCATTTATCATTTCAGCCGTGCCCCACTTCCAGGTGTAAGTTCCCTTTTTGGTCCGTGTTTCTTGCTGCTGCTAAGTTGCAGGCGTAATGTGTGTCTAAAATGATTGTACTATTTTTTTGCTCAAGCTGGTGGATTAGAAGGCATAGGTTTGCTAAATTATATTTTTAGGATATAATGTTAAATGGGATTTATTTCTTCTAATGGTCGAAAAACAGCCTTTGATTTGTCTCAGATTTGTATGTTATTTAAGATCAGATTTTCAAATTTGAGAATTTTTGTCTGCTCTTCATGAGCCAATGTCAATCATACTTTGAAGTGTGCTTGCAAAAGTATTGAATTGCTGTGTGAGTAGTGTCTTTTGTGGCTTAAAAGGAAAACCATATTTTTGGAACATGTAACTGTTTAAAATGTTTCCACAATGGCTTTTACTTCTGTTTCTTCCAGCAAGTGGAAGTGACATTGTAAAACTTTACGATCTGACGACACTTTGTGAAGAAACAACTGAAGACAAATACCAAAATCCTTTCACCATGCCTGTTGCTGTCTTACTGTACAAGTAAGTTTTCTAAGCAAATTGATATATTTTTCTCCATTTTTAGTTGCCCTCTGTGTTGACCGCTAGGAAAAATTCCAAGGCAACCAATGGGAGGAAGTGGAAGGATGGTAACTTTCTTGATGAAATATCCAAAGTAAATTCCATTTATAATTATATGAACTGGTAACTAGGCCAAAGGTGGACCATAAATTCTACAGCAGAGAAGGGGATAAGGCAGCCCATTGTTTCTCTACCAGTGCTTGTAAACCTAATTCTACTGTCTTATTTATACTTCTGTGTATATATACAGATGTGTCCGGATTCTGGCACCCTTGGGAGAGAGACAGTGATGGATTTTGAATTTTCTGAATTTTGGACATTCAGCCTGACGTGTCATTCAAAGCAACTCTTCTTGGTGTCTTACAATGGGTCCAGTCACAGACTTCAACCTGGAAGGTTTAAGTCCAGTTGTCAGGCAGTTTTGATCTTCAGTTAGTGCTTTGATATTGTGTTGCCTTTCAAGCAAATTTTGGGAGTACAGCAATGTACTCGTGCTTTTAGCTAGAACTGATCCAGGGTGGTTGTACAGTATACCATTCAAAAATGTCCAGTTACTAAAATTGATTTATTGTTTTCTTTGTGGACATGGTCATAAATGTACTCAAAGCAGAATGTACAATAGCATGGCAATCAGCAGTCTTTTAACACGACTGCTCCTTTTTCCAATCTAGGCAAGAAGTTTTCAATTGGACAAAAACCAGTGTGCATTGTCTCAAGTGCTAAACTTCTCAATTAAAACGTGTCCAGTTGTGGTCAATTCTGGTTTTCAAACAGCTGCATTTTTGGTATTCTGCCTGTAGTGAATGGACAGACATTAAATATATTTGTATTTGTGTTCAATCTTTCAACTACTTGTCCCTTGCTGTTTTAGGGGTGTTTAGTTACTTTCATTTTTGTTTCAGGCATGGTGGCGGACATTTTTTCTTGTGAATTTTGACCCTGTCTGTTGTTTCATCAGTGGTGAAGAAGACGTTCATCCTGGAGGCTTTTTGAAATGCATAGGTTTTGTCCTTACAAATTTCAGTCAACTCAGTAAAACCTTCTCTCTGTTGGAATCTGTTTCAATTTCATTCATTCTGTAATAATCACCTGAAATCTGTCTATGCATCAGTACTCTTTTGAAGATTGATGTGTTAATCCCACACTTCAGTGTAAATCTTGCTATGCAATAGGTTATATCCAGCCAACTTGTGAAATGTTATTGAAATTAATTTCGGTAAATTCTTAGCCTTGATCCATCAGACCTTTTTATTTTGCCCAAGCAATTAAGCGAAACGTTTTATCTTAGTCTTTTCACCTGGCCATATAGCTTAGTGGTGTTGGCAAATTATTAAAAAGTGAGCAAGTTGATGTCGACAGCATCCATAAAGCTAAAAATGTAAGCAATACAGTTGGATGCCTACGCTTTAACTTTATCATATCAGTTTTTATCTTGCAAGTTTGTTTCTTCCTATGCTATGTAGATGACGGACTAAGTGCAAAAGATGTTCATCTTTTAAATAGAAATATCTTCACATACCATGAAATATAATACTGTTTTATATTTTGCTTCATTTGGTAGTTTTTTTTGTGAACTTTGAAGCTTCAATTAACTTTAGTGGAGTTCTCCTATGATGGAACACTTTATGATTGTTACTTTTTTAAATGAAAAGCAATGATTGTGTGGAGTGGAATATTTAATATTTAAAATATTCTTTTTTGTAGGCAGTTCCTCTGAATGGAGGATGATCCTGTTCAATGAGTTCTGAGATGACTAAGTTCAATACACGTAATTCTCTGACTCTGCCACATATGGGCAGGTAGTACTTCAAAGGTTGGGTAGATGGGTTTTCTTTTGAGGTTTGTGTACTCTCTCTGATACCTGACTTGTCTCTGCCTGTTCCTGACAAAGTTTCTCTGTGTTAGTGCTTCTCTGGGTGAGCCTTCTCCATTTTGGTTGGCCAAAAGCAATAGATTCCACACGCCAGTAAGAATGCTTCAAGAATACTTTGAGGACATCCCTGCTATAGTCCTGGGATTCTCCTAATACATGTGGTCCAGTTTTGGGAGTGTGGTTGTCACGCGTATGAGCAAAATCTTGGTGAGCAGAGGGGAGTTTTGAGTGATTTAATTCCTCACTGCTGGACAAGTTGTTTTGGGAGAAGGTGCTGCTTGCTTGCCATTGGATTTGGAGGATCTCGCATTAGTACCACTAATGATATTTCTCAGGTGCTTTCTATACAGTGTCCAAATTTCCAAAGCATATGCAAGCAAGGATCTCTGCTCCCTGGTAAATCATTGCCTTAGTTGTGGGTTTGAGATGCTGACTCAAATACTCTCACTCTTTCTCAGTTAGACAAGGGCTCATCTGGCACACTAGAGGCAATAATTAATTTCATTGTCTACCACATGCCTCTGTTGAGGGGTTCATTGTCTACCACATGCCTTTGTTGAGGGGAGGTTCCAGAAATACAAAAAAGATCCAAATTTTCCAGGGTCTTCCTGTTGATATTAATTTAAGTTCGGAGTGGAGGGATGTGGAGGTGGAGTGGAGTTGTGCTCTGTGAGCTGGTTGGAAGAGGGATCTTAGTTTTCAGAAATTTATTTCCTTCACTTGGAAAGAAGAGCCCATGCATGGGTAATCTTGGACACTGATCAGGATTATAGTCAAGAAGGGAGATTAGCCCAATTGTGATAACCACAGAGGACTACAGCCGCCACAGAGATCATTACAAGGATCCCCCTCTAAATCTTCCTCCCAGTCTGCCCCTGCTTCTGCTCTCTCCTGCCTCCTTTTCCCCTTCTACAAGTTGAACCGCGCCTGCTTACCTAGCTGAATTTTCTTTGCCAGCTTTGTATCCTAACCATACAACTTGCACCCAACTGCCATCCTACCTCCCCTGCCTATTTCCTGTCACACTATTCACTTGTCTGTCACTGTGCCTACCCTGCTTCAACCTCTAATTACCTTTTCTCAGTGGTTTGTCAATGTGTCTTCAAGACATTTAAATCTTGGAATGCGGCTGCCTAATGTCAAAAAGGGGGGACGTGGTTTGAGCAGCAATCTATGTGGCTCCAGGCTGTGTGGATTCATTACGTTCAGCTGGGAAGACCGCTGGCCCAGAGGATCTTCTTTCCTTTGTCCAACCAAGTTCAGAAATAGAGTTTCCAAACCTGATTGAAAGGTCTGTGCCAATTAACAAAACAGATGGGAACCAATGCTGCTTTCCTAAACCAAAATCACTCTAACCTCAGTGGAACTTCAGAAGCAGATGTTGCTTTATCTGCACATTCACTCAAACTGTATCTAGGTCATTGACTCCTGTGAAGAATTTGAGAAAATGTGCTTTTCATCTTTCAAGTCTTATTCCATTGTTCTTAGTGTTGGTCTATATAATCTAAATGTCTTAATCGGAACTACACATTCTAAATCATTAACATCACCCATTTAAGTGCTGTTCGCTGCTCACCTCAAAAACTCGGTCTTCCACCTCAGTATGGAAATCTTGAATATAGACAACTACACCCTCTTCCTTGTTACAAAGAGAGATTTTTGAAGTTGCTTTCGAAACGTTAGTTTTTGTCCAATTTGATTCATTTTATTTGGATGATCAAGATATTTGAATTTAAAAGCAATTATCCTTTGCGTGGGGAACAGAAGAGAGAACCGATGAAGACTACAGGTGATTTGAATGATGGTGGGGTAGGGTGTGAATAGGTACAGAGACAACTGGTTGTGGGAAATTTAAAGGCCATATATTGCAAAGGAACCAAGTGGTTGAGTGGAGTATGAGTAAAGTGGGTCATATTTCTTCTATATTCCTTTTCACATATCCTATGCATGAGGCCTATAGGGAAAATATTATTTACCGTTACTGACTCCTTCCGTTAGCATGTCTTGTTATTCATCACCTCCCATGAAAATGGAGGTACAGAGGAAAAAAGATAGAAGTAAATCAAGAGAAGGTGAAGGCGATGACCCAATAGATGTATAAAGGTGAATGCGCCCATATGCTCAAACTTTTGTGGAGTACTATCGGAAATAGATATGTTGCACAACAGTTTATATTCAAGTTGTCATTAATATCTCTAGTTCTCTTCTCATTCTTCAAGCCTTTGTATAGATATATACTGTGTTTTATAGGGTTGCAAGTAACATGATGAAGAAGAAAGTTCAGAACAGGAAACATTATGGGATTATAAGGACCCTCTTGTTAAATTGTATTAAACTGCTGGATAAAGAAAGGCATCCTCAGGTACTTTGGATTTGAGTTTTGGATTGCTTCTTTGTATTCAAGAAGAGCTTTAATTGGGCAATGCACGCTTTTGAATTGCATGAAATGTATATTGCCATTTCTAATTATTTGCACTTTTTAATGTTTTTACATCAAAGCTTTCAATTATTTACATTCTCTAGACCAAAAATGCCCTTTTTCGTTGTGCATATTCAGTTATATTTCAGTTTTGTAATTGCATAGAAACTCTAGGTTTTATCCTGAATTACCAGTTCTAAAGAATGATAGAATCCCTACAGTATGGAAGCAGACCATGTGGCCCATCGAATCCACACCAAACCTCCAAAGAGCATCTCACCAATACCCACACCCTGCCCTATCCCTGCATTTCCCACCCTAGACACTATGGACAATTTAGCATAATCAATCCGCCTAACCTGCACATCTTTGGACTGTGGGATGAAACTGGACCACCTGGAGGAAACCCACACAGACTCGGGGAGAACGTGCAAACTTCACACAGACGAGGCTGCAATCGAACCCGGGTCGCTGGCGCTGTGAGGCAGCAGTGCTAACCACTGAGCCACCGTGCCGCCCCATGACTTCCTTTCTTGGAGGTTGCAGCAGGATTGAGCCCAGCACTCCTTTAGCTGTTGCAATTCGGGAAAAGTAAGAAACTGACAGGTTTAAGAAAGTTAAGTACTGTTGAAAGTTTGATTCTGCCTTAAAATGACCTAGAATTGGGTGGTTAATTATTTCCTTTACCTAAAATAATTACTTAGCTAATTTTAAGAATTTGCATCATGCTGTTTCCATTGTATTTACAATGCTTAGAATAAAAAAAGTTAATTTTTTGTGTGAAAAGTTTTGAAGTGGTAGGATATGTAATTTGCAAAATATTAAGGCAGATGGATTGCAGATAATAAATATTTAATATCCATGATTTTGCGTCCTGTGCTGAATAAGCAAATCCTTTCCATTCAAGTTCTTCACTAATTAATTATGTAACTACAATTTTGCAGTTTGTGCAAATTATTGCTTCAGCCAACTACATGATCTCAGAGCTTTTCCAACTAGATGAACCGCCAAAACGAGATGAAAATGGATCAAGTCTGAATGAGAATTCTGATAGTTATAGTGAAGATGAGGATCTTCCAGAGGACAGTGATGAAAATGGTTCTTTCAGCAATGGCTCCGAACCTTCAAATGACAGCAAAGCTGTTGCTATCATTAAATCTGTTGGTGAATTGTCTGTACCTGAGAAGTACAAATCAATACACCAGATAAGGGTAAGTACCCAATTTAATTAAGTTTTGTTTAGAGAAATGTATGTTCTAAGTCTAATAAATGTTATAATACAAAATCATTATAAATGATAGATATGGAAAACTGTTTCATAAAATCCACATTTTTATCCCATTCTGAATTAAATAAAAATTCATTACAGCTAGAATAGATTTTTCTTTCAATACATTTGCTTAAACTGGGAACAGAAGATCTGTCGTCCTGGTACTGAGTTTGGCAAAATTAAGGGGGATTGCTTTAAGTAACTTGATTAACCAGAATGCTTTACGTTAAATTTTTGTTTTGAAGCCCATCTGTGCGTTTCCAGTTTGTCATGATACAGAGGAGCGATGCAGAGTTGTTCTCAATTACGTTCTTGAGGTAATTAATTCATTAGTTCAGAATTTTAGTTTGTAGAGTACACAATATTAAGGTGGTGATGTTCAGGCTTCTAACATCCCCATTTGGGGCTGCACTGGAGATTGAACAGTTAAGTGTGACATATGCATTTGGCAATTTTACCAGTCGATAGAATCATATTGAATCATTGAGGTAATTGTCTGGCTGTTGTGTTTTTTTAGAAGAATCTTTTAGGTTATTTCTGTGTTCTGTTTTGGTCAATGTTTATATATTTGGACAAATTGAGGGGGTGAAGTGAGGAAAGTTGCTGTTATTGATCATGTGAAAAACTGTGACACTTCTATGGGGTTGTCATTTCAGAACCACAGTTGTTTTCTACCTCCAAAGCAGATTTCCGACTGTGAGTTATTTATGCTCAGTATTTCAAGACCCCATGCTCCTGTACATAATGCATGTATGAGTGGGCATGAATGATGCGTGAGGAAATGGAAAAGCCCTTTTAAATTTACCTTTCAAAACTTCTGAATCCTGACTGCTCCTCAAAGTCATTCAGAAGCTGACCTGACTAGGAAAATTTCAAGGGGTGAGAATACAAGATGCTCTACATGCAAAGGAGTCAGCCAAGTTGGAAGTGCTTATCTTGTGCCATTGAAAATTACCAGCTTAGGGATGACGACATTACCCTGTCATTGGTTGCTGCCCAGTTTTTTAAATATCTCCAAGGTTGGCCTGACGCTGAAAAATTACACAGCTGTTAGTAATTAAATAATTTATTTATGATGAATAATTGTTCTAGAGCAAAAAATGCTGCAAGCTATGATAATTGTTGAGGTGTCTAGTATAATGTTCATCTTGTCTGTATGTTGCATTAAATTATCAAAAGTATTCATATAATCTGTCACTTTGATTAGGCTCATCTGAATCATGTTAGTTTCTTTCAGGGGTTGAAGGCTGTAGATGGGAGTGTTAAAAAGGAGACTGATCTTCCAGCTGTTGATCCCAGTATTCCAATACCTTTGAAGTATGCAGATGAATCTGAATGCACAGGTCACAAAGCTCTTAAGAAACAAATTGCTTTGTTTTTGGACAAAGGTAAGTAGTTGAGAAAACTTCACCCTGAACACCACATATAATACTTCACTTGCTAAATTATAACTTCTGCATGTTTTACATTTTTATCTGTTGCTTTTAATATCTTTACCCCTGCAAGCTACTAATTTTAGTGCTTTGTATGTACTTTAAAAGGACATTACTTGCAATATTTATGACAACCCAATAGTGTTTAAATTCTGTGCATAATTGCACAGTATTGTCTTACAATAAGTTTCAAATTCACTGTTTACAGTAATGCTGAATTACACATAACATTGCTTAAAAATATATTATAATTAGATGCAAATATTGTTCAATATGCTTTTGTGGAGTGTTTCATTTGAATTATTTTGGAAATGTTTATGCATTCACAAATTGTTTAAATTAAGTGACAAGTGTCATTTGTATAGCTTATATCTAACTGTATTAAAATTAGCTACTTTCTTTCAGAAAGAACGTGCTTTTAGATTGGTGGGGAAGAGGTAGTTAATTTGTGTTTTTTTTAATGGAGGGCATTACACCCATTCAAATTAATTTGTTTGAAATCCACATTAAAATTCTTTTATGACCTGCCTGATTTGATTTTTATTTAAAGTTTAGAGTTCTTCAGCTAATAATATTGTGATTTTGATTTTAGTGCTTTCACTTTTCACAGTTGGTCCAGCTCATAAAACACATGAGCTTCCCAGCCAATCTGGGATGATACCAGATACATGGCAATATCAAATGAAATTGAATCTAATCTTTAAAGCTTCAAGAGCTTACTTTGTTCTCTCTGATGCAGCTACTACTTTGCAAAAGTATGGTAGAGCTTTAAGATATATTAAACTTGCTCTACAATCTCTTGGTAAGTGGCTACATATTATTATTACATGTGTGCTGTTTTGGAAAATGACACTGTAGAAGTTATGTAACTTCAATAAATTGGTTAGTAAGAGAGGTGCCTCCTAGTCAGGACATAGACTGATATATTTTGGAGGTGCAAGCGAGGCTAGAATACTTGAGAAAATTGTATCTATTAAGTATCTACTAATAGTAGACATGATGATGAAAAATCAATAGATAATGGGTGGAGTGAAAAGTGCAAGCAAGGATGTGCTGGAAAAGCTAACTGCTCAGAGTAGATAAGGTGACTGGTTTGGCTGGCTTGCATCCCATGTTGCGAAGGGAAGTGGGAGTGAAGATACAGAAAGGTTTGCCATAATCTTGCCGTATTCAAGTGGACTGCAGCAATTCAAGAAAGCAGCTTGCCACCACCTTCTCAAGGGCAACTAGGACAGGAAATAAATGCTGGCCAGCCAGAGATGCCCACATCCCACAAATGAATTTTCTAAAAATTTCCAGTCTTCACTAGATATGAGAGCTTCCAGATGATTAGGAAAAGGTAATGTGACACCCTTATTCAAAAAAAATTGTAAGGACATTCCTAGAAACTACAGGCTAATCTGTTTTAGAAGCAGTAATCAAAGGAAAAGGTCAGTAGAAGCTAGGAGAGATTTTGGTAAATCAAAATTTGCCAACTTGAATTTATAAATGATCGATTGAATTGAATTTTTTGCTAAAGTAGCAGGGAGCTTGATGAAGGGATTGCATTGGCAGTTTTCTGTATGAATTTTAACAAGTGTTTGACAAAGTACTGCTTAAAAGCTGATCAACAAACTGAACCTCATGAAGTTGGAGTGTCTTAGTTAGCTTGGATTTAAAAAAAAGGTTTAGGAAACAGTTTTGGGAAGTCCTTTTCCAGACTGGAGAATGATGGTCAGTGGTATTGCACCCAAGAGTCAGTTTTAAGAACACTTCTTTTATTTTGCATGATGAATGACTTAAATATTGAAATACACTGTAAATTTCAAAATTTGATACCAAACTTGAAGGTGCAGCAAACAGCGAGGATGCTATTGATAGAGTCATAGAGATTTACAGCAGAGAAACCGGCTCTTCGGCTCATCAAGTCTGTGCTGTTCAGAAACAACTACCTAACTATTTTAATCCCGTAGCCTTCTATGAATTGGCATCACAAGTACACATCTGCATACTTAGTAAATGTAATGAGGATTGCTGCCTGTACCACTCTTGGAGGCAGTGAGTGAGTTCCAAATTCCCATCAAACTCTGGGTGAAAGAATTCTTCCTCACATCTCCCCTTAAGCTTCTGCCCCTTACCTTAAATCTGTGCCTGCTGGTCATTTGTTCATCTACCGTGGAATCGTTACTTCCTTTCTACCTGTTTGATTCCCTCATTATCTTAGGCACCTTAATCATGTCTTCCCTCATTACATTCCACCAGCTCCTATGGTGAGATTTGAGCCTATGCTTTTAAGAACATAAGCTTGAAGCCCTGGGTTGCAAGGCCAGTGACATTATCCTACAGCACCATCTCCCCTACAAAATAGTCTAGCAAAATAAAGGCAAATAACTGGCAAGCGGAATTTAATATAGAGAAAATGAATTGATGAATCATGTCAAAAAGAAGAGATAAATGGACTAATACCATTCTTGAAGCATGTACGTGGACAGAGCGAACTGTGGGTTCATGTGTACAGATGCTTGAAGATTTCAGTACATATTGAGAGAATATTTAGCAAAGTATATAGTGTCTTGGATTGGGTGTGGAATTACAAGGGATGTCAAGGTTTCACATCAACCTATGGAGGGGTAAGAGTTGCAGTTCAGTGGTGACTCTGGACTTTAGTTTAATACTTAACCAGAAGTTGATTAGGCTTTAATCCTCTTGCTTTTCCTGAGTAGCTATTAAATTCGTGAGTCTTAACAGTCCAAATTCTGATTCAAAGGGACTTTTGTCTTTTTTCTTGAATAACTCCAAATGCAGGGTGATTACCTATAGGAACTTTCAATTATACTTATCCAGGCAAGTGGAAAGTATTTTATCACAATCCTGACTTATGTCTTGCAGATAGTAGATGGGTATTGAGGAGGCAAGGGGTGAATTACACTCTGCAGAATTCCTAATCTCTGACTTGCTCTCGTAGCCACAGCGTTTACATTGTTAGACCTGTGTAATTTCTGGTTGATGCTTACTCCAGGATGTTGGTCATAAGGGATTTGGCAATGGAAATTGATTGATAGTAAATGTTAAGGGTCAATGATTGGACTCTTTTATTGGAGATGGGTAATGCCTGTGAGCTGTGAATATTACTTACCACTTGGCCCAAGCCTGAATGTCATCCAGGTTCTGCTGCAAATGGACATGGACTGCTTCAGCATCTGAGGAGTTATGGAATATTCAGTGAACACCCTTGCTTCTAATCTTACGTTGGAAGAAAGGCCATTGATAAAACAGCTGGAGATTGTTCAGCTGAGAACAATACCCTGAAGAACCTGTACCATGAAGCCTATGGCTGAGAATGATTGACCTTTAACAACCACAACCATCTTTCTTTGTGTTGGGTATAATTCAAACCAGCAGGGAGATTTCTCTGATTCTCATTGACTTCAGCTTTCCTAGGGCTCTTACGGTGCTGCACTCAGTCAAATGCTGCCTTGACGTTGAACATCGGGCACCTTCACTTCCCTTCTTGAGTTTAGTACTTATTGTCCACATTTGAACCAAAGCTGTAATGACATTAAATGCTGAGTATCAGTGAGTAAATGCTGTTTAATAGCATTGTTGACGATACCTGCCATCACTATGCTGATGATTGAGCATAGACAGATCATGCAGTAATTGGCCGTGTTGGATTTTCCCGCTTTTTGTGTATTGGACATACTATACCTGTGCAATTTTCTACATTGCTGGGTAGATGCCATTGTTGTAACTGCACTGGAGTAGCTTGTCTAGGGTGTGGCTATGGGTGTGGCTGTTAGAGCATGGGTCTTCAGTACTATTAGCAGAATGTTGTCAGAGCCCATAACCTTTGCAGCATCCAGTTCTTTCTGCCATCTCTTAGTATCTTTTGGTGTGGATCGAATTGGTTGAACACTGACATCTGATGCTGTGGCTGTTCGGAGGCGGCAATAAAGTCTGTGGTGCCTCTGGCTGATGATGCTTGCAAATTCCTTGGTCTTGTCTTTTGCATGGATGTGCTGGGCACTCCCCTCATTGAGAGTGGGCTATATGTGAATCGGCCTCCGACAATGAATTGTTTAATTGTTGAACCATTCTCAACTGTGTGTGGCAAGAGTGCAGAACATAGACCTGAACCATTGATTGTGGGATCTTTTGACTCTTGCTGTTGCATGCTGCATGGCATGCTGTGATGTAGCTTCACCAGGTTGACAGCTATTTTAGGTATGCCTGATGCTGCTGTTGGTATGCCCTCTGTTTTTTAATTGAACCAAGGTCCTGGGTTGATTTTAAGGAGATGTGCTGGGCCATGAGGTTACAGATTGTGATTGAGTACAGTTTGACTGAGATGATCATCCGCAGCGCTTTATGGTTTCTGACTTTGAATTGTTAGATCTATTTGAAATCAGTCCCACTCAGCACTGTGGTAGTGCTGCGCAGTGTGATGGAGGGTATCCTCAGGCAGGTGTGGTCACTGTTAACCATACTGGCATAGATATGTACATCTGCAGGTAGATTGGTGGGGATGAGGTCAAATATCTTTTTCCTCGATAGGGATTGGTTCCCTGACTATGTGTTACAAATCCAGTTTAGCAGCTATGTCCTTTTGGATTCTGCCTGCTCAGTCAATAGTGGAACTATCAAGCCAGACTTGTTAATGGATATTGAAATCCTGCACCCAGAGTACATGCTGTGCTGTGCGCTTACCATCCTCAAGTGATGTTCACCTGAAAGGAATACTGATTCTACAGTAGGTAGTAATCAGCAGGAGGCTTCTTTTACCCACATTTGCCCTAATGCCATGAAACTTCATGAGGTCCAGAGTCAATTTGAGGGCTCCCAGATCAACTCCTTCCTAACTGTATACCACTGTCCACCCACCACTCTTGGATTTGTGCTGTTGATGAGATATGACATACCCAGGGATGGTGATGTTCCCGGAGATGATTGACTGTGTCAGCATGTTGCTTGGCTAGGCTGTGAGAAGCTCTCCTAATTTCAGCATAAGCCTCCAGATCGGCAGGACTTTGCATGGTCGACAGATTGCTGTTATTTCCGGTGCCTTGGTTGATGTTGGGTGTTCTTTCCAGTTCCATTGCTTTTATTGTATTTTGTAGCAGTTACATACAACTGAGTAAGTTGCTACACCATTTCAGAATCAACTGCATTGCTGTGGATCTGAGCCGCAAGTACACCAGACCAGGTGAGGGTTACAATCGGATTTTTACAGCAATCGACCATTAAGCTGTCTTTTCTCATTCGTGATTTTTTATTAATGAGTTCAGATTTCACCATCTGCCAAGGAAATTTCTGCTCCAGAATGTATGCCAGATAAGCAGTCTGATAATTTAGAAGCAGTGGAGGTGTTTCCAAAGAGTAGGTAAAATAGAGCTCTCTGTCATTGGCATCCATTTGAAAACTAATGCAGTACTTTTGAATTAAGTTACTGAGGGATAAAGGGAGCAAAAGAATGGCTCTAGGAAACCAATGGGAGCAGGAAGAGAAGCCTTGCAAGTGCTTCTCTGGCTACTAAGAGGTAATTGAACAACGGAACAGCAGCCCCATGCAGTGACAGGAATAGTGGTGTAGTGGCTAATGTTGTGGGAAGATAGATTTGAATCATTGCTAGTGAAATTTAAGTTGAACTAGTAAAATATGGAATCAAAAGCTAACCTCAGTAATAGTGGCTATGGCAAATAACATCAGTTGTCATGAAAACCAATCCAGTGTCCTTATGGAAATTGGACAAAGTTGATGGACATTGGAAGAAGATTGTGCCGTCATCTGAGTCAAAAGCTGCAGACAGTTCGAGAAGCGCAAAGTGGGGATGTTTATCTTTGTCTCATCCATTTATGCCGTTTGTTACTTTCATAAGTAACTTTAACCATGTCCTTTAACCATGAAAAGTAATTTACAAAATATTGTTTGTGATGCATTAAAAATAAGTGATACGCCCAATCCTGTTGAAACTGCTTTGGTTCTTGCCCTTTTGCTATTTTTATAGCTTGTAAAATTGTTGAGAAGGATAAAGCTAGAGTGTTGGTAGCATAGCAGTATGCTTCTCTACATTGATAATATGATTTGTTAAATTCCAGTAATCAAGCAATTCATGGCAGTTTCTACTTTAGTTTATAGAATTATTACGTGGGTGTTTTTAATAATTCTCCTTTCTTACATTGTCACTCGAATTCTGAGAGATTTTCTCCAGAAAAATACACCTGCATATTTCATATAATGCGTCAGAATTTAAACAAATACTCCCGTTGGATAATTTGACAATGTTGACCTTGCTTTGTACACTGCTCCTTATTTAGTCTCTATTTTTAACTGTTGCTGCCTGCCAAGTCACTTTTTTCACCTGTTAATAGCTGAAGGCTAATTCTCTGTGCTTCCCAACATCACAGATGCTGCTTACATACCCTTTCTTGCATAAATCTGAGCTGCTGTTCTCCACTTAGTTCTATTTGTGTTATTGATTCATTAATAGTTCTTCACCTGCTCGATCTTAGCTTTTTGTTTTGACTTATCCATCCAAGGGTTGAAAAAAGTTGCTCTCTCATTGGATGTAAGTCATTTTTGAGAGAATATCCTTCTCAGCAAATGAGCAAATAGTTTTTTTTCTAAATCGGAAGCCCTGGGAAATTCAGCTCTACCATGCATAGGGGCAGGACAGTAATTGGCATCGTTGACTTGAGACCATAATTTAGATATTCTTGCTTTAAAACAATTGGTAATAAGTGTACTAAAGATTTTTTTCAACTGAGACTTTTCTGCAGTGATTGTATCGGTATTTGATGTGGCGCAAAGGGCTTGCTTGTGAGAAGCTTTGGTTCTGAGAGCAGTCATTGTGGCTAGACTCATCAGGTTTGATCAGTGCCAAATGTCTCCATTTAACAAGTTGGATTTTGGACTTTGGACATTCAACAGTTGAGTAAACTGCCTTGTTTAACAACAACAGTTTTAATAAGAGCTGCAATCCCCTTTTGCGAGGGTTTGTGGGAGAAAGAAGGCTTTCTGTTTTAATGATAAATACAATAAGAAGGAATTTTTCCAAGGAATGTTGGAAAATAAATATGTTAGTCAACTGATAGTGTTTTAACAGATATTGCAAATCTTTCATGGATGTGATGCTTCAGTAAATTTGCTGTATCGTAGCAATGGGAAAATGAGCTGCAGCCAAGTATGGTCATTTTTAGAATATCATATTTTTTACTCCAGATGCTGGGCTACAATGAACAATGTTACACAAGACCTTCTGGTATATCCATTATAAGCATATTGTCTTAACTGTTGCCTTTTTTATTCCCCTTGACAGATGCCTATTGCTGCCTTATTAACAATTTGTCACCTGAAGTCCTGTTCTTTCTTAGTCAATGTTTGACACTAAATGGTGACATTCAGTTAATGTTAGCTCAAAATGCCAGTAATAGAGCAGCTTATCAAGAGGAATATAGCTACCAAACTAGAGAGGATCAAGAAATTTTGCATAGCCTCCACCGAGAATCCAGCTGCCAAGGTAATTTTTCATATTTACTTCTTCTAAATTGCTGCAAAATTGTGCACTGAATAATTCAAATCAGCATACACTCCTGCTTTTCACCCAAAATAGGACAACTTATTTCATTGCAAGATGAAACAACTTCTTGCGGTCCTCCGAAACAAAACTTGTGCAGTGCACATCACTGGTATACGGGCTATTATTCTGCTCCATAGGGCTGTTAATAGTGGAATGCCAGTGACAGCATGACATACCCTATCATATCTCACTGACTGCAGATTTAGTTTTTTTTTATAATTTCTGAAGACAGTTATGAGCCTACAAAAATTTGCTTTCATGACAAATGAGATAGAAATGTTGAGTGCCACGTTGCACTATTCTAAATACGTTGTGTAAGTTTGGGCTTTGTCTAGAATGACTTCATGCTTCCATTTTCATGGAATAAACATTAGTGTTTCTCGAAATGCTTAATGGATAAATTTGCCATGTAGCATAGCACTGAACTGGAAGGACTCTGGGTTGTATCCCTGGTCTTTATGTTGTTCGTCTCAGTGCTGGGAGTGGTGTCAATACTGCTGTTGGCTTCTAGGCCTCCTGTTGGGAAAAGAAATTCCATGAGTTTCATTGGTCCTCCAGACAGCCCTCTTTAGAATGTGATAGGGCCTGGCTTTTATTCCTCCTCTTACGCTATTGAAACATAGTTTGGAAGGATTTGCTGACTGATAGTTGATCATGAGCTGTAGAATAATATTTCGATATTTCACCACTGTCATTCAGAGGTAGGAGTGTGGACCATGGAGAGAGGGGTGAGGACAACCAAAAATCTACTACAAACCACAACCTGTACAAAAGGAGAAAGAAGCTATCTGAAATTAGTAGAAGTATTTAACTGTCTTTAATTCCCTCCTCTTTTCCCTGGTTTGAGTATAACTGTCATTATTCTAGCTTTCAGCTGGGCTACAGAGCTTTATATGGACTTGGAATACCAACTTTCAGTTAGCTGCAGATGTTACGAGGCAGCAAATGAACTGCTTCATTCCTGTGATCAGAATGTTCATGTTATTGAGCAACTTACGCAAGTGTTGAAGAGATTGGGCAACAGCAGAAATGAGGTTGGAGTTTTTTACATGAATCAGGCTGCAACTGTGCAAACTGAAGGAACAGGTAAAGATTCCCCATTTGCTCTTGTTCCGTACATCTTTCTGGCGAACTGCATACTATTTGAAATTGGCTTGTTGCTGCTCCCTTTAGGTAATGCAAAAATGTAGCTAGAAGTTCCTGGGAATGTTAAAGATCTTTTGAGATAAATGTTTTAATATGGAAAAATAATATGCTTGTATTTCTTCACTGTGCAGCAAACAAAGGAATAACAATGATAGAACAAGAGCTATGGAAGAAAAGCTTTTCTTATTTTGAAAAGGGTATTCAAGACTTTGAGACTATAGAAGATGAAACTAATGCTGCCTTATTGCTTTGCAACACTGGGAGATTGATGAGACTTTGTGCTCAGGCACATGCTCCAACTGGAAGTGATTCGAAAAGAGGAGAATATTCACCTGAGGAAGCCATGTATTATAACAAGGCATGTCTTTTATGGTTTACCTTTCTATCTATCTTTTGACTTTATCGAAGTTTTGAATTATATTTTCCGGAATTATTCAGTAGTTGAATTCAGCTGAAGGCATGTCTGAGCAAGTTGTACAATCTTCATTTCTGAGGATACTTTCAGTAATGAATTCTCAGTCAGGCTACGATGCATATGTGTAAAATTCTCATCCATGTCTGAAATTCTGTTCAGTAGTTTAAGTTTAGCTTCTAGGCAATGTTTTGATGGCTACTGATAACTTCTTAGATGTTCTGGTGAATATACTGTTGACATGTAGGGATCCTCTCGGAAGGAGCAATCACAGTATGGCTGAATTTAAAATACAGATGGAGCGTGAGAAGGTTAAATCCAGTACTTATGTCCTGTGCTTAAACAAAGGAGACTATGAAGGAATGAGGAAGGAGTTAGCTAAGGTAGAATGGGAGCAAAAACTTTATGGTGGGTCAATTGAGGAACAGTGGAGGACTTTCAAAACAATTTTTCACAGTGCTCAGCAGAGGTATATTCCAGTGATAAGGAAGAACTGTAGGAAAAGAGAGCCAGCCATGGATGTCTAAGGAAATAAAGGAAAGTATCAGATTGAAAAAAATCACATACAAAAAAGCAAAGAGTAGTGGGAAACTAGTAGACTGGGAAATCTTTAAAGGCCAACAGAAAGCCACGAAAAAAGTTATAAAGAAAAATAAGATAGATTATGAGAGTAAACTAGCTCAGAATATAAAAACAGGCAGCAAAAGTTTCTATAAATATGTAAATCGTAAAAGAGTGGCGAAGGTAAACATTGGTCCTTTAGAGGATGAGAAGGCCAATTTAATAACTGGGAATGAGGAAATAGCCGAGACATTAAACAGTTATTTCGTGTCGGTCTTCACAGTGGAAGACACAAATAACATGCCGAAAACTAATAGCAAGAAGGTTATAGCAGGTGAGGATCTAGAAACTATCATTATCACTAAGGAAGCAGTGCTGGGCAAGCTAATGGGGCTAAAGGTAGACAAGTCTCCTGGCCCTGATGAAATGCATCCCAGGGTACTAAAAGAGGTGATGGGGGAAATAGCAAATGCACTAGTAATTATTTACCAAAATTCTCTGGACTCTGGGGTGGTTCCCGCAGATTGGAAAACAGCCAATGTGACTCCACTGTTTAAAAAAGGAAGTAGACAAAAAGCAGTTAGGCCAGTTAGCTTAACTTCAGTAGTGGGGAAAATGCTTGAATCTATCATTAAGGAAGAAATAGCAAGACATCTGGATATAAATTGTCCCATTGGGAACACCCAGCATGGGTTCATGAAGGGTAGGTCATGTTTAACTAATTTGGTGGAATTCTTTGAGGACATTTCTTACATGGTGGACAATGGGGAACCTGTGGATGTGGTGTATCTGGATTTCCAGAAGGCATTTGACAAGGTGCCACACCAAAGGCTGCTACATAAGATAACGTTGCACGGTATTACAGGTAATGTATTGGCATGGATAGAGGATTGGTTGACCAGTAGAAAGCAAAGAGTAGGGGTAAATAGGTGTTTTTCTGGTTGGCGGTCAGTGGCTAGTGGTGTGCCTCAGGGATCAGTGTTGGGACCTCAATTGTTTACAATTTATATAGATGATTTGGAGTTGGGGACTAAGTGTGGTGTGTCAATTTGCAGATGACACTAAGGTGAGTGGTAGAGCAAAGTGCAGAAGACACTGAAAGTCTGCAGAGGGATGTAGATAGTCTAAGTGAGTGGGCAAAGGTCTGGCAGATGGAGTACAATGTTGATAAGTGTGAGGTCATCCATTTTGGTAGGAATAACAGCAAAATGGACTATGTTTTAAATGGTAAAAAATTGTAGCACGCTGCTGTGCAAAGGGACTTGGGTGTCCTTGTGCATGAATCGCTGAAGGTGGGATTGCAGGTGCAGCAGGTAATTAAAAAGGCAAATGGAATTTTGTCTGCCATTGCTCGAGGGATATAGTTTAAAAACAGGGAGGCTATGCTGCAGCTGTCTAGGGTC